ATAGACGTCTATGTTAAACTGCCAAACAGCAGAAATGAGCATGTTGACCTCCTAGTAGAAAACACGGTCTTGGTCTCTATAGCTAACATCCCCGTTCTGTATGGGGGTGAATATTTCATACGACTCACCCGTTTGAATCATATTTAGTTGGTCATAATTGAAGGCGTGGCCTCTTTGAGTGACTTCAGCTCCGCCCTCTCATCCTAATAAGGTCGTCTTGTTCGTCACACTTGATGTGTTCAAGGGCCTCCGGACAGCTTGCGGCGTTTTTTTATGCAAACTACGACGAACCTACAATCAGACTGTGTGTCTGGAGACACAGAGTCTCGTCTGATGAGGAATAACGATCAGTGTTTGGCCTCAAATATCTGTCGACAATATACTTCCAGAGGATCCGAGAGTAGCTGGAAATATTCATCATATCATACTTATTAAATAGAAACTAAAAACCTCCTATTCAGTCTGGCTCGTGTTGTGTTAAAATAAAGTTTTTCTTATTATTACATCTGAATTTATACAGTGTCTTCTCTGTTTTTACGCGATGGTTTTTGTATTTATAGGCATTTTATTTTTATTTTTTTTACAGTTTTACCATGTTCAATTTATTCGGAATTGTAATTCTATTTATTCATTATTTTTCTTAATTTAATTGTTCTCTCCATCCTCTATTTCATCTTGTCAATCATTTGTAAAGCACTTTTAGTTTGATTTGTTTAAAAGGTGCCATTTAAATACAACTACAGATTACTTATAATAATAATAATAATAATAATAATAATAATAATAATAACCGGAGTGACACTGAGGCAGATCACACTGATTTACAGGACAAAGAGTCGTCCTCTGTGGGTATCATGCTCCGTGTCCGTCTCCTGACGTCCAGCGGTAGGATTTCTGCCAGCAAGTGAACGCATCGTCACACACTGGCACCGACTGTCGTCAGCCGGACAGACGGACCTTGTTCTGATACAGAGAGCGGATCTGATGGTGCACGGTGTGAAATAATGTGACAGAGATCTGATGCTGCTTTAACAAGAGAAGCAAAGCCTTCTCACTCCACCTATCAGATGCTTCAGGGTCAAGACTTCTGGTCAAGACTCCGATCATGTGACCGACAGTAAGGCTCAAAGATCCGGTTTCATGAGCTCTGATCAGAGGAGCAAAACCACACCAGAGGTCTACGAGAGTCAGCAGGTAGTAAACAGGTCTTCATATTATCTCATGATCTAAACTTCAGGATAACAGAAGAACCAACAACAAACCTGCTCTTCATGAGACGCCAGTCACAACTCTACGGCTCTCATGCAGAAAACGAACTAGAAGTGATGCCTCTCATTAATATTAAGTGTCCTCTGATCTCTGATGTCAGCTCACACATTCATAACGCAGTCGACATTAAATATTATGAGTCTTTGCAGTGTGAATGTAACAAACACACGATGCGTGACTTCTGACTGCAAAAATAAAGATCAGAAAATGTGTCAAAGATCCAGACTGAGCACAGATTTAAATTAAAGACGAAAGACCAAAATACTCAAAGACACAACCCACAGGCCAGAACTATACAACAGAAAGTACTGTCTTCAAAATCAAACTAGTACATCGTGATCCAGGTACTACACGTCTGACATTCCTGAGAAGGAGCCTCTGAAAATCTACGGTTTGAGCATCAAACACCCACGAAGAAGAGAGCGCCTGTGACCATGGAGACCCAGAGTCACGCTGGGTCGCAGCCAACAGCGACATCAGCACTGAATCCTGTTTACTGTGCGTCAGACACGAGACGATGTGATAAAAACCTCATGTCCGGGACAGAATAATTCCTTGATTTGAGCCCCACAATCATCAAAATGTGCTTAAAACATACTGGAATCACTTAACATGTTGATGATGAACAAAGTATTGTATTAAAGTATATTTGGTTCATCACTTGATGGAACAAGATAACTTTTGTGCAATAACTTGTGCAAAAGTTCGTATGTGCACACACAGCTAGCTTCATCTATTGGGACTTGAGAGCAGCGTGAAATCAATTTTAACTGAATCAAGAGCTTTATAGTTAAACATTGTAGTAAAAGTAGAAGATTTGAGAAAATGTTTGGTTTTTTTTTGGGGGGGGGGGGGGGGGTTTATTTCTTTTTTTTTTTTTTTTTTTTTTTTTTTTTTTTTTTTTTT